TCGATGGCTGCCTAACTCTTGATGATAAAACTTATGTCAAATTAGACTTAGACAAATACATATTTTATGCTGGCATTAATCTTGGGGATGTCAGCGATAAATATAAATATAAAAGCTGAACAAAATTGGCAGTAAATAATAAAATATAAAATATAATAGCTGAATAAAATTGGCAGTAAATAATAAAATATAAAATATAATAGCTGAATAAAATTGGCAGTAAATAATAAAATATAAAATATAATAATAAAATAGTAAAATATAAAATATAATAAAATTGTATATATAAAAGTAAATATAAAAGCTCAATAAAATTGGCAGTAAATGTATGATTTGGCAAGCAATTTGTAGCTTTGGCAAAAAATGCAAGTCATTTGTAACCTCAAAGTCAATGAATACCAAATCTACAAAAAGGAGTACCTGAAAAAACGTCTTCCACCTTTGATAAAATCTCATAATGTTCCTGTAAGATTTTGCTGTCACTATGCTAAAACATCATTAAATTGGTACCAAAAAAATGACGTTGAAATTATTATTAAAAATCACAACCCATCAAAATGTCTACTAATACATGGTATAGAAAAATTTTTGGATTATTTGTAAGTTTAAGTTATATAAGACACTAGGTAAAGTCAATAAAGAGTCCGAGCTTCTAAAAAAGTAGAGAAAAATTTGAGATAAAGTTTCCGATAGCACTGTATACATACAAAATTTGTAGCAATTCAGTACATTTTCCCAAGAAAATAATATTAATTTAAAAATAAAATAATTAAAAAGAGGGAGGAAGGTGGTTGTAGGAAAAAACGATCCAGGAAAATTATCAATAAAATAGCCAACCAAAATAAAATAACCAAAAAAATATAAAATAACCAAACAAGTATAAAATAACTAAGATAATTAGATTGTCTCAAAGAAGTTTAAACATTTAAAGATACAGATTATTCAGATAACATCATTTTTAGTATAATAATTCTAACAATTATTATGTCAACCTGGTTCTAAAAAGAAGTGTATTTTCATAGAGATTTTAAAAATGTTATTCGTTTGTAATAAAAATAAGTACTTTTTGTATTATTGCTAAGAAACATTTCGTTAAGATTTTTTTAAGAGTCTCTACAATATTTTCACATGCAATAAGTTTTAAGGAAAAATATATATGTTTTCTAAAATCTCTATGAAAATATGCTTCTTTTTTTGTATGACAATATTAGGGATTTTACCCCAAATACTAAAGATTTGAACCCAAATACCTTTACAACTTGACGTGGTGTTGAAAAATGAGTTGCATATTTGAAATCAAAATCAGAAATGCTATTTAAAAAAAAAACTAATTGTTTGCTCCGCACCAGAAAATATATTTTTTTTTGTTGACCTGTGTATTTAGTTAAAAAGTTTAAAAGGTTTGAAAAGTTATAATTTTTTTTTGAATTACTATTTTAATCATAGATTTCTTAGTTAGGTAAGTAACTCCCCAATGGTTGAGTATGCTAATTTAAACCAACAGTGACCCTACTTAGGGAAACTTGCACGGGCGTATGTCAATCGCAACGTTAACGCAACGCCATCAACTTTATATTATTACCAATTTCAACTTTATATTATTACCAATTTCAGTCAGCGTCATAACATTTAAAAATTGCGAAATTTTTTTTGGGTAGTTCGTGATTTGTGAATAAACTTTATCTAATTTAAAATGGTGCAAAATGTATTTTCAAAATGAAAACATTTTTTCGTAGAAAAACAATAAAAATTTTAAGTTATATATTTTTTTCAAATTTATTTAATTCATTTTATTTGTTTAACAGGAAAAAACAAACATTGCAAAAAGTAATTTACGGCCAAAAAATAAATAACGTAATATAGTTTAGATAAACTGCCAAAAAAACAGATTTTATATCCCTATACGGATAAAGCTAATTTCCGTTTACAATAGGTTTTATTTTAAAGTATCATTTTGAATTAAATAAGAGAAAGCGACAATTTAATCTCTTACCAATAAACATCGACATAAAAGTCGACAAAAAAGACATAAAATTTTAATCTCTTACCAATAAACATCGACAATAAAAAGCGACAATTTTAATCTCTTACCAATAAACAATCTTAAATTTAATTCTCATTGACGCAATTCTTTACGTCATTTAAGAATTTTAATGAACAAAAACAACTTCAAGATAAAAATAATAGTAATCCGGAGAACTTTTCTAAACGAAAAGAAAGTCTAGCGTTGTATGAATAAATTCAAAATATTAACTTTTTCGGAACCAACTTTATATTTTCTTTGGCTGTTAAGCACTAAAAATGTAATGCTAAACTAACAGCATGTAATTTATCTTCACATTTATTCATTTCTCAACAATCTTGATATGCGATCAAATTTATAATAGAATGTAATAAACTTTTATAATAGAATAAATCAAATTTATAATAGAACAAAATGTATCTTCTGATTTTAGTTTTAAAGATTCTAAGTTAAAAAATATTTAAAAATATTAGTGAAACATAGTTAAAATATTAAATAAATAGAAAAAAATCACTTTGGTATCAGACAATTGTGTAAATAGGAGCTTTTTAACTTTTTAAAATTTTGTTTTTTATCAAAACAAAACTTGTGTTTTAGTAACTCTCTAAAGAAATTTTAGTTAAGCTTTTTACTTAAAAAGTTATGTAAATTATACACAAATCACGCGACAAAAAAGGTCTACAATAAGCCTGGGGTTCCCAACTCTGTGCCCGCGAAACGATTTGTATGTGAGTTTGCTGACAGTACTTGTCTCAACTTGTCTAGTTGCAAGCCAGACGTTAGCCTGGAACGGGGAGTGCTATTCAAACATTATTTTTTGTACACACAGAAAATCTGAAATAATCACGTGCTCGTACCTTCCCGATTGAAAATAGGTGGTGCCCGCCACCCTACCGATATTTTAGAATGCTAGAGCACAAAAGGTTGGGAACCCCTGCAATAAACAATAACGATTTTTTTGGCATATAAACTACTAGTTATTTCGTTAAAACTAATTTCTAACAATAAAATTTATTTAAAGAAGATCTCTATTATGTTGAATATTTAATTTATGCTTCCTTTAATTATTTCCATAACTTTATTTTATATGAAAACAGTTCTAATTAGACTGAAGTATGTTAAGTAACACCTCGTGTTTTTTTCAACTTTCTTTAATGGGAGATCTATTTTTATTTAAAACATTTTAAATTTGTTTAAAAACGTTTTGCTTTTAAAGTTCTTGATTAGCTTTTTGTTTTACAGCGATAACCAATCAATTTGGTTAATCAGATTTACTACTGTTTATTTTTTTTGGAGGTGGGACACTTGTACTTAATGAAATCAGCGTTTTAAAAGCATATTTGAAAATTTGATCGTGTTTATGAAAACGCGATGTCTAAAGTAAACTATTTTTTAAATTTGCATACCTAATCCTTTAAATCCAAACGTTTTATTGTTTTCTTATTGTTAAAATTTATGCTTTGTTTTGTTTTTATTTCATTAAGTTTTGTTATATTTATTTTTTTATAAAATTTAAAAATAAAAAAGTCATGTTTTATTAATTAGCATTTAATATACATACGTATATAATACATACATACGTATATAATACATACATACGTATTAGACGTATTAAATTCTAATTAATGAAACATATTTTCAATAACTTTTTAAATTTAGTTTTTTAACAATTTTTTTTAATATAATTTTTTTCAATATAATTATTTTTATGTTTTCATAATTTTTATTTTATTTTTATTAAAAAATTTTATTTTTTGTAAAAGTGAACTATAAGTTATTTAGTTAATATGTAAATATATATATATAATTACAAACTCCAATATATTTCCGTATAACAAGTTTGTACTAGCGGTCGGGTTAAAAATGATAAATTTTAGTTAAAGGGTAAAAATTTTTCAAAAAACAAGGGGTTGCGCCCTGCATCACCAAACTCGCTGAAATTTGGCGCAAATGTTTAAAGATATAAGTTAGGAAAGACTGTAAAATTTTTTCAAAAAATTCTCCACCCTTTAAGATTTACAGCAACTTGAAGTTAGTTAGTTTTATTTTTTGACTGAAAAAAGAGGGGGATAAAGCCGGAAATATGTCAATTTACCATTACCCTTTTAACAACCTTGAGGTAATGTTGCGAAGCTAAAACTTGGTACCAAAGGAGTTTAAAACCTGCTGTATCTGAAAATCATAAACTTATATCTCTCAAAACAATAAAATAGTTTATTTTTAGATACACAAAACGCACTTGTTAATGACAATAAAAAAGGCCATTGACAAATATAGTTCTAGAAAAAATCTGGTTGATGAAAAAAAGTTTTGGTTTTCGTTATTTTAAATATTAAACATATATCTACTTTGTGAACCAATTTTTATTTAGCCTTATGTTTTATCAAGGAGTTATTAATGTTTTAGTTTTTCAATTTTTCTAAAGTTTTTTTGTAAAAAAAAATAATTTGCAAATATATTTTAAATACAATTATTTTTGTTTTGTAATAGCTTTGTAAAATATTTACAAAGCTATTACAAAACATAGTTGAACATTTTATAAATTTGTTTCTTTTTACTTTCATTACATAATAATAATGTCATTTTTATTACATAATATCATGTCATTAAATTTAACAATATTATGTAACTTTTGTTGCTAATTGTTTTGTTGTAATAAAACATTTATTATCATCAATAAAAAAAGTAATAAAATGATATAATAATGTCTACTTAACATTACCATGTTAAGTTACATAACTAAATAAAATTATATTTAGTTATCTTTTACTTCTACACAACTTTTTGTAAGTAGTTAATGGAGAATTTACAATAATTAGTAGATAGTTAGGCATTTAAAATATGTCTATTAAACTAATATGTCTATTAAACTAAATTGTTCAAGCTATATGTTCTTTATAAATACATATTGATATGATATTGTTTGTGTTCAAGTGTACTTTTCTTGTTAGGGACATTAAGATTATTTAAGATTTCTTGCATTAAGTGTTTAGACAGAGATTCCTCATTATATTTTTATACGGATAACAAAATTAATTGCTGCTTTGTAAATAATTATGGAGCTTGTTATAAACAATCATATACTCAAGAAAGAAATCTGATTGAAGATATTGACAGCAATAATTGTAAGCTACTTGAAAAACAAACAAATCTGAAACAAGAACAAATTACTAATATATGCACACACCATCATGATATGTTAGTTGTAAGATATGAGGGTAATCAGAAAAGTTGCTGTAATACATTTCTGAGTCACCAAAAGGTGTGTAGAGGTAAAAATTTATATATTTATATTTCATTAAGTAATATCATTATTAATAAGTCATATAAGTTTTTTTGGTAATAAGATTTGTTCAATGTTTCATAGTTATTAATATAACAAATTGTATAGTAATATAATTACATAATATATATAATTAATGTTATTAAAGTAATGTAATTACTTTCTTTTTAAGCATCTCTACGTGTGATTACAATGTATACTGTGTTAAAAGCAGAAACCATAGGTTTAAATCTTATACCTGGAAAAAAACTGTGTCCAACCTGTCGAAGTAAAGTTATGACATGTTTATCAAAAAGTATAAGTGAAAATAAAAATGATGAAGATTTTGATATTGTTAATGAAAGATCCATTTAAAATAAAAAAGAAAGTGTAGATACACACTTTGCATCTGCTGGAGTATCTCCAATTAAGGTCAAAGGATTGCACAAGTCAGGTAAAATCAGAGAAGGTAAACGAAAATTGATAGCATTAACAACCTTTATTAAAAAAAAGGTAGCCATTTCCATTAATATATCAGAAGACAGTTTTGAAGAATAGTCAAGTTTTAATAATGAGTATATGGAAAAAGCAAACTTGTTTAATAATATGATGGTATTATTAACTAACAAAATTGCAGAGTCTACATCAACATCAAAAAGTACAACTTGCGACGCTTGCTCCAACAAACTGGTCAATAAAAAAGGTATCTGAAACATTGCATGTAACAAACTATGTAGCTCGAACTGCACGTAAGTTAACATTAGAAAAAGGTATTTTAACCATGTCTAATCCTAAATTAGGAAAAGCTCTTCCTGATGTAACAGTTCAACTGGTCAAGACCTTTTACGAAGGCGATGAATATAGCCGTATAATGCCTGGTAAAAAGGACTATATAAGCATTAAGAAAAATTCTACATGCACAAATGTTTGCTCTTATGTAATTTAAAGGAATTGTTTGTTGCCTATAAAACCAAGAACCCAGAAATAAAAACAGGATTTTCAAGGTTTTGCACCTTGCAACCTAAATGGTGTATTACTGTTGGTGCCTCAGGAACACATTCTGTATGCGTCTGTGCAATTCATCAGAATTTGAATCTGCTTTTACATCCTCTTGGTGACATACAAAGAATTGTTACCTTATATTGTCTGTGATATAACTAATAAAGACTGTATGATGAGGAAATGTGAAAAATGCCCAGCAACTATAAATGCATTGGTTGAAAAACTTTATGATATACTTGGAGAATTTGAAGATGATGATGAGATTGAATTTGATCAATGGACAACAACAGATAGGCCAAACTTGACACATAATAAAGAGCCAGTGTTTGAATACATTGAACTAGTATGTAGAAAACTGGAAAAACTCGCACCACATTCGTATTTAGCAAAGAGTCAAGCATTATACCTGAGATCAAAAAAGAAAGATATAAATGAGGTAACAGCATTATTTCTGGGTGATTTTTCAGAAAACTATAAATTTGTAGTTCAGGATGAAGTGCAAAGCTTTCATTGGACAAATTTACAATGTACACTTTATCCAGTGATTATTTACTTCAAAAAAGAAGGCATTCTCGAACACAAATCCTATTGTAATATTTCGGATGATATGATCCATGATGTGAACATGGTTTATAAAATTATTGAGATTGTTTGCAATAATATAAAAACAAATTTGCCTCAAATAAAAAATATTGAATACTTTTCAGATGGGTGTGCAGGTCAATATAAGAATTGCAAAAATATGTTAAATCTTTGTTTCCATTGTGAAGATTTTGGTTTTACTACTAAATGGAACTTTTTTGCAACTAGTCACGGTAAGCAACCTTGTGATGGGATAGGTGGTACAGTCAAACGTCTGGCAACACTAGCAAGTTTGCAAAGAGATATGGGTAATCATATTTTATTTCCACAAACAATGTATAAATATTGCAATGAAAACATTGAAGGTATAAATTTCATATATATTTCATCAGAAGATTTAACTTTGGTGAGAACCGCTATTAAAGAACGGTTGAATACTGCTAATGCAATACCTGGAACATGTAGTTACCATCGGTTTGTACCACTTGGCCATCAAAAGGTAAATTTTTATTTTTTAATTATACTTTTTACCATATTTATAAAATACACGCATAACTTTTATTGATAAACTCAAATAGATATTAGATTTTTGCAGAATCGTTATCAAAAATATTTGTATTTTATTTTATTTCCTCTGCATTTGCTAATCTATGCATTTAATAAAACATGTTTGATAAGTAAAACGGAATAATTGCATATGTTACTATTTTGTTTAGGTAGGCACTAAGCTATGCAGTGTTGATGAAGAGTTTGCTTTAATTCATGACTTTGGAAATATCCAGATAACAACTGTAAACCTAGTACCAGGTGATTATGCCTGTGTTTCCTATGAGCAAAAGTGGTGGATAAGAATCATTGAAGATATTAATTTAGAAGAAAAAGATGTGCTTGTAAAATTTATGTGTCCTAATGGTCCTGCACGGTCGTTTAAATGGCCACCAAAGGAAAGCCAAATTCCTGATGTCCACATTATTTATATCAGTCAGATTTTTTTTATAGCTATAATTGTTAATGCCCTTTTTTCTCGGCGTTATAAAGTGTATTTTATGGATCTTAAAATAAGCTACATTCCCTTGTTTGGACATAAAAAACTATATTTTCGGAATTAACAGGTTTTAAACTCTTTTGGTACAAAGTTTCAGAATTGTGACATCACTACAAGCACCATATTAATCGAAATGATTTTCGGCACTTTTCCTCCCTCAGTTTTTAGTCAAAATCAAAGAAACTTCAAATTACTGTAAATTATAAACGGTAAGAAATTTTATGAAAAAAAATTACAATCTTTCCTAACATGTCTATAAATATTTGTGCCAAGTTTCAAAAATTTTGGTGATATAGGGTGCAGATTTGTGTTTTTTTGTGTTTTTTGAGAAAGTTTTACCCGATAGGAAAAACTGATGAAAACATTTACTATCTCATCAAGTGGAACAAGGCGGTCTGCCAAAAAAGAAGCAGTCACGCCATTGCACAGACAAATCAAAGAGGTTCTTCAAGTTTTTAAATCCATTATCCACAATCCCAACAGAATGCTGTCGCGGTTTGCAATGCAAAAGATCTTATCATTCAAATTTTTTTCATTTTTTTTGTGTTTGTTGGATTTCTGCTATTGAATTTTTTCTGGGAAAGCAAACTGCTTCAGTATAAAAAAAACATTTCAATTGACATTGCAGCAAAAAATGGAACAGATTGAAGTCGTTGAAAGTCTTGAACGAATTTGAAGTATCTCAAAATTTGAATTCTATCCAAAATTTGAAAAATTTAAGGGTGGACAACATAATCAAATATGCCACAGAAACTGCCAATCAGAATGGAATTGAAAGTGGCTCTTCAATCAAGAGGAAGCGCAAAGTAAAGAGAATGGCAAAATAAAGAGGAACTTAAGACAAAAGATTTATCTCAGATTTACAAGGCGATTTAGATTCTTTTGACTTTTTAAAATAATGTTTGTGTATAAATACGATAAAAACAAAATTTGTATAAGATTGATAAAAAGAATTACTTATTTGTAGTTATAGGAAGCGATAAGGGGAGGGGGTTAGACATCCCCGCATCCCCCGCATCCCATTTAACAAATTGTTATACAATCAGTCAGCAAAATGGGACCTTTCAGTACCTTCAGTCGGAAAATAGGGACCCTTTTTTTATATTTAGTTGGCAAAATGGGATTTTGATTGTTTATCTTTGGTCGGCAAAGTGGGGAATTGAAAATCCTTTCTTATTTGCCAGGCGGCAAAATCCATAAAGCCTCTCTTTTCTCCCCCTTCTTGTTATCTATTTGCGTCGGCCCGCAGTGGAGCAGAATAGCTTTAAAACTGAACAAAAGTTTTTTTTTTTAGATTTTTAAGTTTAATAATTAATTTAAGAGCACTTGCTAGACTTAGGAAAAAATACTCAATAGGTTTTTAAACATTTATATACAATTGTCAGACTTTTTTTTATGTATTTTTGAGTAATTTTGAGTAAAATTTTTTAAAAAACCGGTAAGTTTAGTTTACTTTACTTTTAGTGATCAATAATTTACAATATTTACAACAAACCATAGTAAATTTATAGGCTTTTGAAAAATCATAAATGTTCGAAGTGCTGCACCAGGCACCTCTATACTAACAGTCTTAAGATACTCGTGCACATCTGCGACACAAGTACCATACTTTAAGAACATAATAGAATACTTAAAACATATATAAAGAGAGTTTATTTCCAGTTTCTTTTAAAATTCTCTTTTAACTGATTTAAATAATCATCTGATTTTTGAACATGTTCACCGAAAGTCACGTCAATTACTATTTGCGGCAAAGTATTCCATTGCAAGACAATACGGTTCGTGAAAATATTTTTTCTTGGCATGAAATTGAGTACTCTTTGCTGTGCAAGTCTTTGATTATGATCACGCATAATATACTTTGAAGACGAAGAACGATTGAATGGTACGTGAAAGTTTATTTAATTGATTTCACGCATAAACTTGAACATCAGAATTAAATCACTTCTTATTTTTCTTTCTTAAAGTGTCGTATGACCAAACGTAACTCTTTGCTGCTCGGCGGTGCAATGCTTAATCTCAGAAACGCACGGTTTTGAACTTTTTCTAGCACTTATATGTCTGCCCGTTGGTACGGTGACCACGCTTGGATAGTGTACTCTATGTGAGGACGAACATAGGTGGTATACAGTTATTTCCACAGTGAAAAACTACGGCTGCGAAAAACCGTAGTTTTTCACTGTAGGTAATTTTTTGTTCAGCCTTTTCAAAGAGCGGTTCACCACAGCTGTTAAATCTTGAGCATTAAGTTTGAGATTATCTGAGATAAGAACTCCAAGATCTCTCTCTAGATGAGTAACTTTAATTGCAAGTGACAGGCCGTCTGCTCCTGACATGAAATAGTCTCGTTTTCATACTTTTTTTCCTTGGCCAGTATGCATGACTTAACACTTTTCAGTATTGAATGTCATGAGCCAGCAATGTAAGCATTCAATGGCTTTGTCTAAGTCTGCTTGTAGACTCTCCGCGTTCCGGTCAGATTTTATGACGCCAATAATTTTGCTGTCATTAGTGTAGAGTTTGATCTGATGCTCCAATTTGTCTGGAAGATCATCAATGCACAGAGCAAACAGTAATGGACCCAGGAATGATCGCCGCTAATAACATTTTTCAAATCTGATGTACGCTCTCCAATTACGACTCTCTGCTGCCTTCCTGAAAGCCATGCTTTAATCCATGCGTAAAACTCCTCTTTGATTCTGTAGTTATGAATTTTGTGGACAAGCCTATTGTGTCGTACATGTCACTTCCATCTTTATTTTGAAACCTGACATCGGGTTTTGTGGCTCGATTACGAAAACTGATTGAAAGTAGTCATTTAAAATTCTACATATTTTCTCCTCATCAACTGTACTTTCACCTGTATTGTCCTCTAAAACTTATATTTAATGTTTAACTTTTTGCATTTCGTTAATACAGACATGAATCAATTTTTGATTATTTTTTGAGGCTTGAACAATGGTTGATTCGTAATCTAGCACTGATTTTCTAACTTCTTTTGCAACCTGTTTGCATGATTCGTTATATTTTTTACAAAAGATTTTGTGCCTAAAGGGCCCAGCAGCTCAGTACATTGCCCACAGAGTTCTTTTTTTATTTATTGCCACTTTAACTGACTGTTTTATCCATGGGTTGGCAACTTCGACAAAAGGAGTGTTCGTAGTTGGTATATTAGGCTTGCAATCGTTTTCTCTCTTTTGACAAAAAACATGGGAATATTCGTTTGTTGAGAAGCCACTAAATAAAGTTTTCCAGTCAAGCGATTCTAAGAATTTTGTTATTTTCTTATACTCTACTTTATTCCATCCTGTGGCTACTCCTCCCACCTACGTCTATTTGTTCGTAACTTGTGTGTGCAAAATTAAAATCACCGTAAACTAGTGTCGTTGCGCATCCAATAATGTTCAATACTGCCTTCGATTTAGCTAATGAAGCTATTGTCTCAAAGAGAACGGTGTCGTTTAGATTATAGGGTCGATACATTGATCCAAGAAGAGTATTCTCGTTGCCAAAGCAATATATCGTCAAACTTGTTCAATTTTTTTTTTTAGTTTAATCGGCTAATTTTGAGTTTACGAGTACTGATACTATTCTTGATGCATAAAGCCTCACCACCTCCGCGAGATCCTCAATCTTGTTGATACAGATTATAACCTGCCAGTTCTGCTTGTGAAAACTCATTAAACTAAGTCTCTACGACAAAAATTATACCCGGGATTGCGATTTTAGATGTTGCTTTTAATCTGGCAGCTAATTCATCAAGTTTTAGTTTGCTAAGTAAATATGGATTATGGATTATGAAATTTTTAAACGACATACTGACTTAATCGTAATCCTGGAGATTCCAATTGCTTTGAAAACCTCTTCGACTTTAGTATAATTGCTTAAAAATTATGCTCGACTCGACTTCAGTATAATTGGCTTAAACTGTTAAAAAGAACTAAAAAACATAGTTATCTAGATCTGGAAACTTGGGGTGTTGACAGTTATTTAGCAGTCGGTTAATATGCAGAGTCTCTTAAATCACACTGCATTAAGATTGATCTCTTTACAAAGTAATGCTTTTTCACAAAGTTGTGTATCAAGATTAACTTTAAGATCAAAAGTTGGTTTTGATGATCCAACAGGTTAGGCAATATACAAACAATTTGCGCTAGATCAAGATGTAAGCAATCTTAGTATTTAAGGAAGCCTGTTTATTACCTGCTTTGTTCCATAAGAGCTAAGTGGATTTATTGGTACAGAAAAAAAAGTAATCTGGCTTAATCCTTGTCCTTTTTCAACAATGTTTTGTAGACCAATAAGGTTTAGATATGTAAAAGAAACAAACGTAGTCATCAAAGAAGAGAAACAGTTCATTTAAAGTCAAAAACTTGAGTTAACACCCCCTCCCTCTCTTCAAACTTTTCTCTTATTTTTGAACTTTATTATAATAAAATATTGAAAAAAAAACCCCTTCCTCCTTCACTGACATGAAAACCCGTACCATGATTACAGATTTTGCTAAGTATACACCATTAAAATAGATATTGCAGTTGCAGTTGCAAACAGTTGCAAAAAAAAATTACATACATTTATTCTTCATAGATATACACATTAAGTAGGCTACATGGTTAAATTTGTCAGTCGCCGTCATTATAATAAATTACCGTCAGCCAACTTTAATAAATATATCATTTATTTAATATTTGCGTTAAACTTTAAATTATTGATGTACTAATAAAGATTTACAAGAATTGTTTAAATAAAATGTTGTAAAAGTAAAATGGATCAGATTTAAAAAAACATATAAAAATTACAATTTTCAACATAGAAACAACAGCGATGTTTCCGCTTCTAAACCTAAACTGATGTAAAAAAAAAAAAAAAAAAAAATTAGCGTAACATAATTTTAATTTAGTTAGTTAAAGACTTTGCAGCAATATGCGAAAAAAAAATTCTTATATTTTCACATTTTGAAAAACAGTTTTGTTCACTATCTGGCTCACTCTGCGCGTAGTTTCGTTTTATTGGTATATGCGGGGGTAATGTTTTAAAGAATTTTATATATATATATTTATATATATAAATTAAAAAAGTAATAATAAAATCTCTCTCTCACTCTCTCTCTATATATATACAGCAGTTCGTAACGTTTAAGCACAAGTTTAGCACAAAAGTAGATTATTAATTAAAACCAACAATCAAATTAATCCCAAAAGAGCAAACAGATTAGAAAATCAGTGATAGTAGATAAAAGTAATAGTAGATAAAAGAAAAAAATCATTAAATTCGAACTATTGTAATTTACTAAAGTAAATTACAGTAGTTCGAATTTAATGTAAAAAGTCACTCAAAAAATGTTACTCGAAAACTCGATTAATTTTATACGTTTTAATTTGCTTAAAACAAACTATACCCAAAAAAAGAACTCATTAGTTCATGCGTTCATGATCTGGTTTTGTTATCTGAAAAATGTTTTACATTATGTTATCATCAGCAATTTCATAAAAATAAAAAAAATAAAAAATGAATATAAAAAAACTGCATTTATGTGAGGACATAAACTAAAAGCGCATTGTTAGAAAAAATTAAATCAAAATAAAATAATTCAGATGCACTTTTTTAATAGGCCAATTAATATATATTTTTCAAGCACTTTGAAAATATTTTTTTATTGCAAAAGATAAACCTAAAACTAAAAAATCCCTGAAAAAAATATGGAATTTTTAACATTATAAAAATAAAGTAGAACTACTTTTTAAACAAAAGAATTTAGCTAGATTATGGGTTCTACAGGGTTAAAGGTCAGCGTTACTCTAAAAAAAAAAACACGCGGATAAAATGGGCCAGAGACTCTTTTATACATTACCACCAAAAAATGTTTCATAAGGGATCGTCTATAAAGTACATACGCTCGGAGAAGAAGAGGATGTCTATGACGTTTCTGAGATAAGGGGGCAGTAGGTCAATTATAAAAGTATGAAGACATTAAATTTAAAAAAATATCATAAAATGTTGGGTTAGTAGGTTAAAAGCGTAGGTACTTTTAGGGAGGTAGAGAGTACTCTAACTATTAAGTATTAACTATTAACTTAAGTATTAACTATTAACTTGGGTAAATTATGTAAAATCAAATTAAGGTACCAAACGTAACCATTTGCGCATGCGTAGAATAGTTATTTTTTGATCAGAAAAATATTTTAAATTTTTAAGGAAATGACGACGCGACTATATATAATCTAATAGTTGGAATTACATATTTTGTTGTAACGAAAGACGCTAAATTGATGCTTGCACTAATGCATGATAAATATTTTGGGATCGGCCCTAACGTGACGGACAAATATTGTACATGTTTTGAAGAATAATTTTTATATCTTTTACACCTGATTTAAGGTTGAAAAACTGGGTTGAAATTCCCGGAGACTTGTTTATATAGAAGAAAAACTGAACCATGCAGTCACCCACCTACACACACACACACACACACACACACACACACACACACACACACACACACACACACACACACACACACACACACACACACACACACACACACACACACACACACACACACACACACACACATATATTTATATGTATATATATATATATATATATATATATATATATATATATATATATATATATATATATATATATATATATATATATATATATATATATATATATATATATATATATATATATATATATATAAATGTTTGTGTGTATATATACATATATGTATGTATGTTTCTATACAAATATCTTGGCATATTTGGCCTTGCATAAGACTTTAATGTTATTCTGAAATAAGGAGCTGCAGAAGCATTAATGCACACATCAACTGAGGGCTTGGGTTTTATTAAATCATTAAAATAGTAATTATAAGTAAAATGTTATAATAATAGTAAAATATAGTAATAGTAAAATAAGCTAATATTATATAAACTTTAAAATAATTTCTTTACTTTTATTAGTTTATATTCAAAAGGATTTTTTTTTATAGCAATATATATTAAACATGGCTGAAGCACGATTAGCTGTTGGTTTCCAATTTGCTGTTACTGATGAAGGGGTCGTAGTAAATTTAGATAAAGAAATTTTAAAGTTAATGGCAAACTCTGCATATAAGTCTATGAAGAGAAGATGCAATGATGCAAAGAATACTTTTTTAAAAGGTATGATGTATTTAAACTAATTTTTTTTATTTTGAAACTTTTAGTTACAGTGGAACTTTTTAACTCAATAACTTTTTTAGGTAAAATTACATATAGGGTTTGCAAAAACCCAGAAAATTTCTATTCCTAGGATTGGGGAATGTATAATTAACTAAGTTATAAAAAAATTCCGGATTGTCACCCCAAGTACAACCACTTTCAAACAATGACATTTCTTTTGTTAATATAGAAGCTTAATCTTGACAAAGAATTTTTGTTTGTTGCTAGAAAACTTTTTTCTAAGGCTTCACTAATAGTTTTCAGCATTTCACTAATAGTTGCTCACAAATAGTTTTCAGTATTTCATTATCTACGCTTTTCAATATTTCATTCTCTTCTTCATTTACTAAATCTTCAACATTGTCTAAGAAATTTGTAGGGTGATTTAAATTTGTTAAATTTAATCTATTTAGATGCTTTAACGTTTATTTTTTTTTAAATTTAAAGATGTTACAAAAACTTCTCTTATGAGCATTAATTTGTTTTCTCTGTTATGCAGATCATACAGTATTCAGTCTATTTAATTCAGTCTTTGACTCTTTGATTCTAGAGGCATAATGTAATAAAAAGTTGATAGCTTAATTTACAATCTTTGTAAAACAAGTTGTCATATTAAAAACTTGCTAAAACTTGTTTTACAATTTTTGATTAAATGAAGGTATTTTCCAAAGTAATTTTTACGTATTTTTGAATACGTAATCATTTTTAGTTGGTGATCTTTTAAAAGCCATGATGATTTTTCTAACTATTAATCACCATCACCATTGCCAGATTTTTCTAACTTTATTAATCACTTTGTAATTATTACGTCTTCAATTATTTGATTATTCACTATAAAGCAACTCTTATCATCATCACTATCTGATTCACAGCTTTTACGAAATTTAGATTCATTTTTCAAATTTTCAATGTGGTCATTAACTTCTTTGATTAATAGCGTACAAATTGATGTATTCAATAAAACTGAAATAATAGCCAGTTGAATATTGTAAGCAAAACATAGCTGTTGATTAATCTGTAATAGTTTTATAATTATTTTTATTACATTGACTCTGTCATCATGCACACAATACTATTTTCAAGATTTAAACCAAATTTATAGAGTTTTTCTTTATTTATATTTAATGAAAAATATATTTTGAAAAACTAATTTTGAAATGAATGAAAAACTAGTTTTTATATTTTATACTCAGTCTTTTTCTGATGACGAAGAACATGCCATTTCTGCTTTTAAATTTATCTTAGGTAACTGAAGCAGATGCGAATGAAGAGCTTTTGTTGATTCACCAGTATATTTTCAATATTTTTTTGCAATGGCTGTTTCACTTTCTTTGTTTCACAGAAAATGTTTCCATATAGGGGTTTTGTTGTTAAACTCTATGAAATTTGACAGGGTATCCTAGTTTGACAAATCAAAGAAAATATAAGAATTTATTAACTGTTTTTATTATTATTTACTTTCTTATTAAGTTGAGTTTTTAAAGTTCAATAAATTTAAATAAATTCACTCTATTAATATATAAACAAAATAGCAATACAAATAAATTTTTTATTTTTTTCCCATGGTTTTTATTATTATTGTTATTTTTACAATTTAAACACAAGTATTAATAGGTAAATGTAGGTATTAGTTGTAATTTTATAATTTCTAAATCCTGGGATAATTTTCAAATAATCCTGGGAATGTTTATAAAATTAGACGGGATTCCGGGATCCAGGATTGCAAACCCTAGTTACATATTGTAATGTACATGCAAAATGTCTGTTATTGTTACAAAATGAGGTATAACATTTTAACCTAAACAACAACAAAAAGATATTTATTTTCCTCAAAATTTACAATCATATAGTTACATTAATATTATAATAATGATAATAATAATAACCAGCTGATCTGACCCATAAAAATACCAGTGGTTGGATTTGAACCAGGGCCTTCTTGTTTAGAGGCTCAGTGTGCTAACCACTTGGCCATACTGGCACAATGATCTTCAAAATTTTAAAACTATATAAAAATTATTTTCAATGGATATAGATGCTAAAGATCAGAAATTAGGAAGAAGTTGACGCAATGTAGTTTTTAAGTGAAAGTCAAACTGTTAAACTTGATATATGTTCAAGTATGTTTTAAATTATATAACTTGTTACATTTAACTTGTTTAACTTCACAAATATTTTTTAAAAATTCTAAAAGATTTAAAAAAACCTGACAACAGTAGTTAAGATGATAATAAAAAATTGCAAAATACAGATTCTTAAGTGCAGTTTTATTAGCATAATGGTGAATTATTGAAACCACATGGTTTCAATAATGCACTCTGTAAAAAACCTAATCAAGCTAATGAAACCACATGGTTTCATTAGCTTGATTAGGTTTTTTACAGAGTGCATTTATATTAAAATTCCATGAAAGGTTCGAATCTATAAAAATAACAATATATTTAACAATGTGTATTGGATATAAATCTCTATTATAAATTTTAATTTTAGTTATATGATTGTTTTATAAAAGTTTTTGTCTTGGAAATGAAAAAAATATTAGTTCACTTTTTTTCAAATTCAGAAAAATTAAGTTTGCATTTAGCCAGTGAACTAAACCTTAGTTGTCCATCAAAAAAACAAGATAAATAGCAACGATAAACATTTATTTATCAAGTTTATTATTTAATATTTAATTAAAAATATGATGTAACTTTATTACCCATTGAAACCAATGGAGACATAACATAATTTTAAAATGTTATAGGGTACAGCTATATTGCTTATTTATCATTTATTGATTGTTTATTTATCATTTTATTATCATTTTATTTACTTATTTATCATTTATTGATTATTGATGTTATTAATGTCATTAAAAATGGTATTAACACTGTTATAACAGATATATAAGTGTTTAAAGTAGTAATTAACTATTATAAATGAAATATTATGATATAATTTCTTTACATTGTATTATATGTGACTTAAAAGTTAATTAATCTTTTTTTTGTGTGTGTGTGTGTTTGTAAAACGAAACATAAACTAGCTCCATCAATAGTTTGTATTTGACCAATTTTATTATCAGAAGTGTCATAAAGTTATAAAACATAAACAAAACAAATCAACATACAAAAAATATTTGAGCATCAGTAACAAGCAATATGAAAATATGTTACTATTAAATAGTTGGAGTATGGATGAATCTATTAGACATGTTTTATAACTTTTTCTAATACTGTTGAGCGTCAAGCATGTTTGTAATTGTAACAACACCTTAAAAGCACAGTTTGTTTTGTGAATTAAATATAATAAAATTTTTTTAAATATTACTAGCTAAAATAAAAGATTTGAAAAATTATTATTTAGATGCCCCTTTTTTTCAGTATTTTTAGAATAGTGTTTTTCTTTGTAAAAGAAGTTGCTTTAAAGTATTTTTAAAAAAAAACAAAAACAAATCAAACTTGAAACCCCTTAAAGAAAAACTAGCATTCTCGCAGCGTTTTTTCTGGATATGGCTGTTGGGGTGATGGGTTGCTTTTACATGTTCATTCTAAAAAAGTAATATGATAGATATTAAACAATATAATGTAAAAGCAAAATCAATATATTCCCAAAAATTATTTTGAAAAACATTAATGTTCAAAAGTTTTTCTGTTAAAAAAACTCTTAAAATAGTTTTAAAATGTAGCTATTCAACACTATTGAAATGTAGCTATTTAGCGCTATTCAGCTTTTTTTTGATGAAAAAAAATTTATAAACTGTTTACTTTATTTTAGCAATAAGATTTAAATAGGATAAAATTAGTAATTTTCATCAACATCTTATTTACTTTTTTTTTTGCTTATTTTCAAGTTATTTGTTTGTTTGTTTATCAAGTCGCTTATATATAAATAACTTTAAAAAGTTTTATGAATAGAGCCAGACCTTTTTTTTGAAAGTGAGGAACGTTTGATGTACCCTTATATATATATATATATATATATATATATATATATATATATATATATATATATATATATATATATATATATATATATACACACATTTTTAATAATTAGGAGTTTATCCGGCCTCACCTGCAACATGGATATTTTTTCTTGGGGCTTTACTATCTGCAAGATATACAGAACATGGAACCACAATGGATATACTTCAGAGGATGGAAAAAGAATTTCCTGCGTAAGCATATTTAATGACTTATATACATAAAATACTCTCATTAGGGTTATGACTTTTAAAAAAAAGTCATAATCCTAAAAGTCTTTTTTTGAAACCATATTATATGGTTTATATGTTATAACCATATTTTATTGTTATATGATATAACTACTATAGTCTTGTAAATAGAGGGTCGAAGTGGAAACTAATTAGTGCAGAAGCAATTTTTAGCCTAAAAGTCTCAATTGTTGAAATCCAAAACCCCACCTGCATACCCCTTGAGCGTTTTTTTACAATCTAATGTCAAAGTGAGGTGCCTAATACGATAAATTTCAAAAACATGGTTTTCTTAGGAAATCCTAAAACACCACCTCTAATAAATTAAAAATATGAGCTTGTCAGTTACTAATTTAATCTCATTTAAGTTTATATTTATCAAATATAAATGTAAGTTAACAAAATATAAATTTTTAGAAAAAATAAAATCAGGGGGACAAAAAAATTTTTAAATGGCAAATTATTAGCCAATTTTGCATAAATTAGGCTATTTATAGGTTGTAAAATGTTTTTAATGACTGTTATCTGACTCTTTTTTTTGTTTTGTTTTTTTTGTTTTTAATGACTATTATATATCTTTTTTTGATTTGTCATGATTAAAATAAAAGTGAACCACAAGGTTGAATTTCCATACTGTTATTTATTTTCAGGGGTTAAAATAATTAAAAAATGTTGATTTTTAGCCAATTTTGCACAAGTTAGGCTGTAAAATTTAATAATATTCTGATTTTTCATGATTAAAGGTAAAGTAAACCTTAACGACCAATTTTAAAACTGTTCTGTATTTTCAGGGGGTCAAAATGATTAAAAAATTATGGATTTTCAGCCGATTGGCCGGGTGAATAAAAATGAGCAATTGCTTTTATTTAGTAATTGGTCAGCGTTATGGATTTATCTTAAGTTGTGTTTTCGCAACCAACAATTTTGCAATCACCACATGCTGAAACACAAGAAAGACTATTTCTTCGACACGAATATAGCTTCCCTATGGGCATTTGTTTTTCAAAGTTACATTCTAAATGTCTTTTAAACGTTTTTTAAATGTCTTTTAAACATTCTTTATGTAAGGATATTTAGAAGACAATTAAAAGACATTCAAAAGACATTTAGAACGTAACTTTTAAAAATAAATGCCTGCTGGGTTAAATCCATATGACCTTTTTGAAAATAATTTACAGTGACATCTAATAACAATTTAGAGCTGAGATGAAACACATATGCAAATGGCTGCATCTGCATATACACACATATGCAAATGCATATACACACATATGCATATACATATACATACTGCATTTACACACATATGCATATACACACATGCATATACACGCATCTGCCTCAAGAATTGTACCATTGAAGGAAACCCTTGATAAAGTGCTGCTTAAATCTGTGGGAATAGGGTTCCAAGCGACACTTCATCAACGGTTTTCTCTGCCAAAGCTGAAGGTATACTCTTAAACTGTGATACCAGGCTGCCCTTTTTGTAGGTAGTAGCTTCGATGGTACAATTCTTGAGGCAGATGCAGCCATTTGCATATATGTGTTTTATCTCAGCTCTAAAATTGTGTCATCAACTTTTCTGTTGTACAGTATAATAAACAACTTAATACCTGCATTCATAACTTCCTCTTGCACACTAGACAAGTTCATGAAGCAGCCGAACAATTTTTGTGTCTCTTTTGATTTCTGTAGAAGCACTAATGTTGAAGCTTTACCTTTTTCATGTATAGCTGATATTGTATCACATCCACCAAACGTATGAGTGAAAAGCAAGTATGGTATAACTAAACTGTCCAAGATGGTTACTGCAGTTTCTATATCCAACTGCTTTTGTTGACTTCTGCCATTTTTACCATAGTATGAACTTATGATAACCTGACCTATCTCCTTCTTCCAAAAATACATCAATAATTTTGTAATAGTTTATTGTTTCATCTGCAATCAAACCAGTTGATAGAAACTGGAGCTCTGACCTCTTTAAATCACTTTTTTTTTTTTTAAACATCTTCGCTTCCAACAAGACTGCAAGCAACCACTAGTTAGAGTTGGAAGTTACTGGAAGAGAAAAGATGAAGATTGTAGAGCAAGATAACGATTGACAGTCGACTTAAAAGATTGCAAATTATATGAATCAGCAAAGAAAGATGAAGAAAGCGAATTCCAAAGAACTGATGTTCGAGGAAAAAAACTAGAGGAATAAAGGTTTTTGGAGCACTTAGGAACAGTCACAGAAAAAAAGGATGAGACTTAATTGAATGATTGAAGGTTAGCTGCAGAAGCAGATCCAACTATATTTACAATGCCTTTTTGCACCTTGTCTAAAAAAGAACAGACATCATTAGAAGATCTGCTCCAGATATGGTAAAAGTATTCCATAGAAGGCTGGATTTGAGATTTATAGAGATAGAGAATAGAATCCGGAGTTAGAAAGTGTCGAGCTCGATAAAGAAATGCAATTTTAGCAGATGCTAACAATGGATTTGATATATGGTTTCCAAGAAAGATTGGAAGTAAGAGTTAATCTTAGAAAATGAAGGATAGATGACTCATCGCAGGCCTTCTCAGGAGACGCGTGCGGTCGCACGCCTTGAATGACCATGCATATATATTTTTTTGTTGATAACATGGCCACGATTTTTTTTGCATTTATTAAAAATGACGCATCTTAAAAACGCGCTGAAAAAACAAAATTAATTGCTCATCTTTTTTTAATTATTATTAATAATTCATTATTATAGTTATTAATGAGAAAATAAAAACATTAAAATAACATATATGGGCAATTCCGTTTTTAACTTACGTTTTAGCAAAAACTTTACCAAAAATTAGCTTATTTAAACTTTTAAATTAAACTTATAGCAATTTTGTATGAAAGCTGTTAGTCTAATAAATAAAATAAGCTTAAAAATTTTGAGTTCGGCCAAAAGAGAGCAAACTTATTACTAAAAATGCCACTTGCACTTATGTTACAGGGAAAACAAGGTAAAAAAACAAATTCAACTTATAGGTCTCATTTCTGCGAATCAGTAAAGCAGTATTAGAAACTTTTACAAAATGCAGATAGTTCTATACCAATTTAAAATTTTTATAAAAACTTTTTTAAAATAAACTTATTTTTTTGATACTGTATTTTTTACTTAAATTACATCACTTACATTATCAAGTGGTTATCATGATTTTTTTTATCTATTATTAACAGTTAGAGTTACGTAACAAAAGAATTGCATAAGTATTGAACTCATTCATTAAAAATAATTAACAAAAAAATTTTTTAAAAACTGGTGGCACTCTTCCTGAGTGATTTTTCCTAACATTCATGAAAGTTATCAAACCGGAAATAGTTTTTTCGCAAGACCATGAGCAACTTCAGAAAAATATTTTAGTTTTACATCTTTATTATTACTTAATTGAGTAATTGGTTTATCGAAGTTTTTATTTACACTTCTTACGTTTATGTGTATTGCTTTATTTTTATAAGATTGAATTTTTATAATGCTGCTAAGTTAAATTTTTAAATATTTAAATCTTTTCTAAACATCTATAATTCAACCAAAATAATAGTACATAAACAAACAAAAAAAACAACAATAAAATAAATAATTTTAATATATATAAAAAAAAAAAGTTTTTTTTTTAAATTCTCCTTATATAAAAAGTTTCAGTTAAAACCTTGTCAAGCCAACAGGAAGAAATAATAATTACTTAATGACGTAATTCATTTAGTAAACAAAAACTTAACAAAAAAAACTGCCAGAATTTTATTAAATGCATGAAAACAAATAAAAAATATATATTTATATATTATTTTTATCTTTTTATTTTATCATTAATTACAAATATATATATATATGTGCATTATTGTTAAGTTTTTATTTTCTCATAAATAATTATAATAATAAATTATTATTAATAAAAAAAAACCAATAAGATGACTAATTAGTTTGATTTTTTCAATCAAGGCCATGTTATCAACAAAAAAATATATATGCGTGGTCATTCGAGGCGTGCAACGGCACGCATCTCCTGAGAAGGCCTGCATCGAGTACATTACCATTCATAAATATAGAAAGATCTAAATTATTGCGATAACAATTGGCTGAAAAAAATTGAATTTAATCTGAATTAAAGTTCACCAGCCGCTGTGAGCCCCATGCTGTAGCAGAAGTAAAATCCTTTTCAATGGGTTATTTGATTAAAAAACTGAATTATATTTGATCTAAGTTATTGTAGTCTTTTTTTGATTAGACTCTTTCCCATTTCTTCATGTTGATTGCTACTGTTGTGTTTGTTGCCAGTCAACTCAGAAAAAGCATTGTGAATGCCTGCACAAGAATGCATAGATTGCAGCCATAGAGTGCGCACTTATGAAGTAAATCCTTTACCTCAAGTCAGGGTGCCTCAATTTTTCAATATAATATATAACTAGTTCCATCGAGCTATTAATATTCTAAACCTGATCAATAAGCAATACTTACCAAACCTATCAATATTTATTTGAGCATAACCAGTTATAAATTTTAAAGCTAAAAGAAAGAACATCAACACATGCATGCAAATATCTATTCAATCATAAGATTATGCCACATCCCTGACCAAAAGTGCTCTGATCTTCGAATTACTTGAAAACCATTAGATGCCAACTTTTGACACATCCAAGAATGAGTCTGAGGAAGTTAAAGCTAACATTCTAGGTAAAATCTTGCAGATTTTGCGTAGTGGATGTGCCCTGTACTTGTAAAAAGGTGAAGCATTTGATTCAATGTGATCAAATGAAGATTCCAATCCCCTTCATGTGAAGCACAGATAAATTGGTGCATAATAACTTTGCTGTTTGCGACTTGGAAGCTAATGTAGTTTTCAACAAGTCAATAATCAAATTAAGCTTTTCCATAGCTGCACAAGAAACATTGAGGTAGGTAATTTCTTTTTCTGAGATTTGCTTGCAAAATTTTTTAATCTTG